GTCAAAACATTGACACCCATATATGTCATCAGCAGGTTTGGAACTTTTTGATCCATGACAAAGATCTCTGCTACTTGAGCTAACAGAATAACTGATAGAGGATGACAACCTACTATTGCTATGTGGAGCAGCCACTAGAGGGGGATGGGAGACACACTTTGATAATGGGTTTTACAGATATTTGCTAACAGCAGAGGGATGTTGAAACTCTGGAATCTTGGATTCCATTCCAAGAGCCTTTTGCCCCTGTCCTTTCTAGCCTTAGCCTGTCCCAGTCCAGTCCTCTCCCTTCCCCCCATCCCCAACCTCCTTCCAATTCCTTGACTAGTTTGATTCCCCCATGTGCATTGGATGTCTTGTTAGGGCACTCACAAGGTAGAATGTACTAACTGTCAGCCCTAGCAATAATGGAATCATGAGAATTCTGCATAAGTGAGATTCTTAATGTCATTGTAACAGCCTTCAGCACTTAATAAACTACATGTAAAAGCAGTATATGCCATGTCCTTGCCATCAACCTTGAGAGGGTTACCTTGGTATTCCCAGCAGTGAAAGATAATTTAGGACTAATAGGATTGTAATTTAACTGTAAACCATATAATCATTGACACCTAATTAGAGTTAAGCTTTTTTAGACTACATTGTACAGATTTGGCTTTTGTCGTGGAAATTAGTGGTGACTGTTTGAATTCTTAAGCATTGGCTCTATAGTGATCTGAGTTTCCTCCCGTGCAGATCATACTGCCAATTGAGCCAATGTCACCCACTTCTATTTTCTAGTTCTCACAGCAGCCCTTATAACTGCAGTTGCAATTTTAGGGACAAGAGAAATAACCTATATTTATTGTATAGTGTCTCTCATCCCAGTGGAGCCTAAAAGAGCTTTTGCAGATGATGCTGATATGTAAGCTATCCACAGGAATTGCAACATTCACCACTGAAATGCTGCCACCTCTGGCTGGAAATCCTCAGGTGTTTAACAACACACAGCAAAACGATGAAATTGTTCAGGACAGAAAGTAAAGAATACCATACCTGATTGCAACTGCAGTTGGGAATTTAGGTGCAAAGAACATAATTAATAGAGATGGGGAGAAGCTGAATAATTTGTATCTGGTTTTAGAGTCATAGAGTTCAAGGCCAGAAGGCACAAAAAGATCATTTAGTCTGACCGTCTGTATATCACAGCCCACCGACACCACCCAGCACTGGCGCACACAGTCCAACAGAAATGAGGACAAAGTAAATGTGCCACAGGCAGAGCATAGGAGGGACTTGGGTGCACCTGTCTCGAGGTTCCCGCAATGGCAGGGAAATGATTCAGTGAGAGATACCCAGATAATCCTGGCACTCTCACATTACGGAGGAAGGTGAACAACCCCCAAGGTCATTGCCAAAAGGACCTGGGGAAAATTCCTTCCCAACCCTACCTATGGTGATTAGTTAGACCCAGAGCACGTGGGTAAGAACCTGAGAGAGAGAAAATGCTCAGGGCTACATTAGAGCCCTGACCCACCCTGCCCAATATCCCAACTCCAGCTGTGGCCATTTCTGAGGCTTCAGAGGAAGGAGATAATAAAACCTCCCAGAATACATTGGAGAAAAAGATCCCTTCCTGACCCCTGTTGGTGCCTGGCTGAAACCCTGAAACATAAGTTTTAGGAACATAAGCTATAAACTGGAAGTGAACCCTAGAACTATTGAGCCCTGCCCGCCCCCCCATCATCACAAGCAACCCCATCATACAATTGCACTCATAAATTTGTCCAGCTCTTTCTTAAAATCAGTTAAGTTGTTTGTCACCACAACTCCTAGTGAGAGGCTGTTACTGGACTGGGACCAGTTTATATCCATTTGTTCTTGTGCCAGCATTGTCCTTTAGCTTAACTAGCTCTTTGCCCTGCATGGTATTTATCCCTCCCCTCCCCTGCAATTTATCCCTCCCCTCCCCTCTCAGCCTTCTTTTTGTGAAAATAAACAAGCCATGCTCTTCCAGTCACCTCATAAGATAGGCCTTCCATTCCCTTTATCATCCTAGTAGCTCTCCTCTGCACCCATTCCAGTTTAAATTAATCTTTCTTGAACATGCATGACCAGAATTGTACACAGTATTCCAAAAGAGGTCTTACCAGTGCCTTGTACAATGGCACTAATATTTCTCTATCTCTACTGGAAATGCTTGTCTAATACATCCTAGAATTGCCCTTTCCCCAGCCACATCACGTGGTGGGTCATAGTTCTTCTGTGATAGACCCACACACCCAGGTTTCTCTTTTCCTGTGTCACTTCCAACTGCTGAGCCCTCACCTTGTATCAGAAATTCTTGTTGTTACACCCCCAAGTGCATGACCTTGCACTTTGGACTGTTGAATTTCATCCCATTTCCGTCATTCCAGTCTTCAAGGTCATCCAGCTCTGCCTGTATAATATTCAGATCCTCCTCTGTATTGATTGCCTTCCAATTTAGTACCATGAGCAGATTTCATTAGCGTGCTCTTACTTTGTGTGCCAAGGTCATTAATAAAAATGTTAATCCGAATAAGGTTGCTCCCAAGACCGATCCTTGATGAACTCGACTAGTAACCTCTCTCCAGTCCGATAATTCACCTTTTAGCATAACCCATTTCCTTCTCCCCTTTAGCCAATGCCTTATTCACCTTACAATGCTTATACTGCTCCACTCCTCATCTTCTCTAATTTAACTAATAATTTCCCATGTGGCACCATGTCAGATGCTTTATTGAAGTCTAAATATATCAGATCTACTGCACTTCCCTTATTTAAAAAAAGTTATTTTCACAAAGAAGGAAAATAGATCAGTCTGGCATGAGCTACCTTTGGTAAACCCATGTTGCATTATATGCCCTTTACCATGTACCTCTAGGGATTTAATTATTCTTTCCTTCACAATTTGCTCTAAAATATTGCATACTACTGAGGTCAAACTAATGAGTCTGTAATTTCCTGGGTCATGCTTTTCTCTTTTTTAAATATAGGCACATTAGATATTCTCCAGTCATATGGTACAACCCCCAAATAGGTAGTTTTATTAAAAATTCTTGCTACTGGACTAGCAATCGCATGTGCCAGTTCTTTCAGTATTCTGGGATGGAAGTTATCTGGTCCCCCTCCAATTTGAGCGCATTAAGCTCTTTAAATTTTTCTTCCAACTCAAATGTGATAATTTCCATTTCTAGACACTCATTTCCATCAGCCATACAGCCGTCAAGCCCATGTTCCATGTTATCATTGTTATTGAAAATGGAGGCAAAAGTATTCATTTAGTTTTGGGGCCATTCCTAGATTTTCTGTAATCTCCTTCTCAGCTACGCCGCCTGGCGGTCCAACCTCATCCTCCTTTATTCTCTCTTTATTTATATAACTCAAAAAACATTTATTATTTATTTTGATTTCTTGGCAAGGTCTAATTCAGCTTGACTTCTAGCAATTCTGACTTTATTCCTACATTTTCTAATCTCCATGATGTAGCTTGCTTTGCTGATCAAGCTCCTTTCCATTCTGTATCGGTTCTCTGCTTACTCCTAATAATGTTTCCGAGGTGAATATGCATCCAGCTAGGTCTGGAGCCTTTCTCTACAAGTTTTTTTCCCCTTTCTCGGGATGCAAATTTCAGATAATTTTTGTATAGCTGATTTGAAGAAATTCCAAGCCTCCTCCACATTTAAATCCTTGAGCTCTTCAGTCCAGCTGATTTCTTTAACTAATTCCCTTAATTTCCCTGCCCTTTTGAAATTTAAAAACCATAGTTGATGACCTGGTTTTGATTATCCTTCCATTTAATTTAAACTGACTCAACTCATGATCACTTGATCCAAGGTTATTTCTTACAACCTGCTCTTCTATGATGTCCTCACTACTTACTAACGCCAAGTCTAAAATGGCATCACCTCTTGTTGGTTCAGTGATGATTTGATGAAGAAAACTGTCGTCTATCACAGCCAAGAATAACTGGGCCTTACCACAATTAGTATCATTTCTTCTCCAATCTATATCCGGGAAGTTAGTCTCCCATTATAACACAGTTCCCAAAAGTATTCATCTCTATTAATTTTAATGAAATCAGTATTCATATCTGAGTCAGATCTGGGGTCTATAGCAGCAGAGTCCTAACGCTGTCCCAACAGAACTTCTCTTACAATCCTTTCCCAAAGTGTGTTTGATTCAAACAGGTTCTGTTTTGTCCCTACTATCACTTCCTATTTCTTTACAGTTTACTGTTGCTGTACAGTGCTACCCCCACCACCTTTACCTTTATTCCTGTCTCTACTAAACAGCACATACCCTTCAATACCTGTATACTTCCCCCCCAAGGTTAGGGATATTCAGACCTTAATTAAGTCCAGTATAGAGCTAGGGCCAGCTACAAAGTTTGAATCTGAATTGGACATATTTCAGAGCTTGGGGTGTTTGCATCTGGGATTTTGATTTGGGCCCATCTCTAGAAATTACCTGAGTTGGAACTGAATTGAATGAGAAGATTATATCTTTCAAGTGACAGTAAATAATAATGGTGGAACTGATGTGACAGCATTTAAAAGTACCAGAAAATGTCAGTTTCAGGTGCCTCAAAGAACAAAATGAGAGAAGAGGAACTTTACTTTTTCATCTAATGCAGGGGTCGGCAACCTTTCAGAAGTCTTCATTTATTCACTGTGTATTACTGGCACGCAAAACCTTAAATCATTTTAATGTTTTTAGAAGGTCTCTTTCTATAAGTCTATAATATATAATTAAACTATTATTGCATGTAAAGTAAATAAGGTTTTAAAAATGTTTAAGAAGCTTCATTTAAAATTAAATTAAAATGCAGAGCCCTTCCAGACTGGTGGCCAGGACCTGGGCAGTGTGAGTGCCACTGAAAATCAGCTCACGTGCCGCCTTTGGCATGCATGCCATAGGTTGCCTACCCCTGATCTAATGTATGGTCAATTGTTTGAAGTAGCATATCACACAGGTGTATTGTTTTTGTTGTTCAACAGTTTGACATAGACAAAGAAGCAGGAGAGAGAGAGATTTACCATCGGTACTGTATGGAACGGGCGTCTGTACATTGTGCCCATGTTTTCACCACGGTTTCTCAGATAACAGCCATAGAAGCAGAACACATGCTTAAGAGAAAAGCCGGTAAGACTTGAACCTGCCTTCCTGTACTAACTTCTCACTGTGGTTAAATTGCCCTTGATATGATGAGACGTGGACAGAGAGAGAGAGAGGCATACGCAGCAGCCTTGTTACACTTAGGAAAACAGCCGTAGCTGACAATAGGTGTCAACTGAACTGGTGCTGAGCACATTTTAACAGCATATGTAACCAAAGACCAATTTAAATTCAGCACCATTTGAGTCACTGTGGTTAGCATTTGTGGGAATCCTAGTTTATCACCAGGATTGTTAATTTTATTTCAGCAGGTTTATCTAAGCCCCAAGAGTTTTGTCTATATTAGTGCTCCCACACATGTTCAGCTGAACTAGTGAAAGCATCAGTGGGAATTTTGTAATACATTTACTCACTGTTACACAATGCACAGTCAACCTATGGAACTCTTTGCCAGAGGATGTTGTGAAGGCCAAGACTATACCAGGATTAAAAAAAGAACTAGATAAATTCATGGATGATAGGTCCATCAATGGCTATTAGCCAGGATGGATAGGGATGGTGTCCCTAGGCTCTGTTCGCTAGAAGCTGGGAATGGGCAACAGGGGATGGATCACTTGATGATTACCTGTTCTGTTCATTCCCTCGGAGCACCTGGAATTGGCCACTGTCCGAAGGCAGGATACTGGGCTAGATGGATCTCTGGTCTGACCCAGTATGGCCATTCTTATGTTCTTGTGTTCACTATTGACACACACAGCCTCTGAGCTTCTTTGCTTTGATGGGTTGAAGCCCAGCCACATAACGTTACATCAGCACTTAAATACTAGTGATTGACCCGTGAGCAACATAGGTGGATAGATACATTGATATAAGAAAGGGGTGTTAAATGTAATTTTTTTCCTATGGTAATACTTTTTCTTTTATTAAAATAAGGAAGGAGTGAATAGGCAAAACCAAAGTGTGATTCCAGGCAGTTCATTTGATTGCATGTCCTGGTGCTTAGAGGATGAGCAAGCCGATACTTCTATCCAGATGTGTCCTGCAAGTACTGACAGAATACTTTGTGAGCACAAGCCACGCTGCTCCAAATATGGGCATGCATCTTTAGAAAAACACTGCAAAAATGTTTTGGAAACTATTTAGCAAATGATTTTCCAATATGAATTACTTGGCCATTTTCAAACATAAATATACTAAAATTGCTTTGGACTACATTACAGAATAGCTATCTCAAAAAATTCACTTTGTTTACTTTTTACAATTTTACTTTAATTGAGTGCTCGTGGAAGGTTTTGGATTGACAGCCCTGAAAATTGAAATCCTGTCAGGCCGTAAAATAGGTCTGGCTCAGGGAGTGGCACTCTGATTACCACCATAATACCCTCTCGCCTTAATGCCTCAACCCTAAACTCTACAGATTAAGCCTATGGGTAAGAGAGAAGTACACAGTCCGTTGCCTGTCCAGTTCTTTGCCTCAATACTGAGACTTGCAACAAGGGCACTATCAATTTTAAATGTAAGGCCAGGATTTTCAAAATGATGAGTGTTCTGTGGTTGTCTAATTTCTGGGGCCCCTTAAGGAGCCTGATTTCCAGAAAGATCAGAGCACCTGCCCTCTGAAAATCAGATTTCTTTAAAATGTCTCCTGTTGAGCACCAAAAAAAGGAGGCATCCCAAAATAATGATCGCTCTTGAAACTCCAGGCCTACACTTTTTGAGTTACAGGAGCTCAAAAAAACTGTGTTGGTCTGATTCCAATACTACTTTGTGGCTCAAGCCTGCAAACCCTGTGCAAATAGAGTTTGCACTGAAAAGCCAGGGAGAATTCCATGCGGAGTGGCCTTGCAGGAGTGGGACTCTTATTTTTAGTCCTTCAATTTTGATTTGGTTTCTTCTATGTGTTTTTTGTTTTTTTTTAAGTTTGGTTGCTGGTGGTGTGTGGTGTTTTTTTTTGTTTTTTTTTGTTTTTAAAGCTGTTGAGATTCATCGAGTTTCATGCTGAAGTGAAACTAGGTGAAATTAGATGAAATTAAATAGCTGTTTGTAACAAGGCTTGTAACTAGGGGTTTTTAACTAAGGGCTAACCTCGGCCCTTAATTATAAATGGACACAGGTGGGCCCTGCTATAAATGGGATTTGATGTGAACTGGCATATGTACTTTAGTAGTCTTTGAATCTTAGGATGTAAGCAAGTACGTTTGAATCTGTTTCAGCCTCCCATTAATGTTACAAACTGCTGGCTTGTGATCAGTAAAGTTGTGAAATTCACATAGACAATGGTTGCTCAAAAAGGTCAATAATCCCTCAGTAGATCATTAAGCTTGAAACCTACCCAGGGACATTATTGCTAAAACGATCTGTGAAGTGAGCCAGCTTTTTTATCCACGCCAGAAAATCAAATTAAAAAAAAAAGGGAATAATTGGCATCCACAAACTGAGCACCAAGAGTACAGCAATCTCTGTTTGCTGCTGAGTTTATCGATAAGGCAACTCCGTAACAAACTCTCTAGCTATAAGCAATTACAGAATCATAAAACTGTATGGTTGTAAGGGACCTTGAGAAATCATCAAGTCCAGCCACCTGTGCTAAAGCAGGACCAAGTAAACCCAGATCATCTCTGACAGGTGTTTGTTCAACCTGTTCTTAAAAACCTCCAATGACAGGGATTCCACAACCTTCCTTGGAGGCCTGTTCCAGAGCTTAACTACTCCTATAGTTAGAAAGTTTTTCCTTAATATCTAACCTAAATCTCCCTTGCAGCAGATTAAGTCCATTACTTCTTATCCTGTTCTCAGTGGACATGTAGAACAATTGATCACCATCCTTTTTATAACTTCTCTTAACATATTTTAATACTGTTAGCAGGTCCCCCCTCAGTCATCTTTTCTCAAGACTAAACATGCCCAGTTATTTTAACCTGTCCTCATAGGTTAGATTTTTCTAAACCTTTTATCATTTTTGTAGCTCTCCTCTGGACTCTTCCCAATTTATCAACATCTTTCCTAACTTGTGGCACCCAGAACTGGACACAGAACTCCAGCTGAGGCCTCCCCAGTGCCAAGTAGAGTGGAACAGTTACCTCCCATGTCTTACAGACAACACTCTTGTTAGTACACCCCAGAATGATATTAGCCTTGTTCACAACTGCATCACATTGGTGAATCATATTCAGTTTGTAATCCACTATCACCCCCAGATCATTTTCAGTAGTACTACTACCTAGCCAGTTATACCACATTTTGTAGTTGAGCATTTGATTTTTTTTCCTAAGTGATGTACTTTACGCTTGTCTTTATTAAATTTCATCTTGTTGAATTCAGACCAATTCTTTAATTTATCAAGATCATTTTTGAATTCTAATCCAGTGCACCAGAATGCTTGTAATCCCTCCCAGGTTGATGTCATCTGCTAATTTTATAATTATCCATAATTACTCCATTGTCCAAGTCATTAATGAAAATATTGAATAGTAGCAGGCCCCTGAGTGATCCCTCTAGATACATCTTCTCAGTTTGACAGCGCAGCATTGATAACTACTCTTTCAACCACTGTGGACTCACTTTATGGTAATTTAATCTAGACCGTACTTCCCTAGTTTGTTTATAAGAATGTCATGTGGGAGTGTGTCAAAAGCCTTACCAAAATCAGGATATATCGTCTACTGCTTCTCCCCTATCCACTAGGCCAGTAGCCCCGTCAAAAGAAGGAAATTAGGTTGGTTTGGCATAATTTGTTCTTGTCAAATCCATGCTGGCTATTCCATATAACCAGTGATGAGCTCCCCAAATCCTAAGAACCGGTTGCCTATCGGGTCCTCGGCAGCACTTCGGCAGCAGGGGAGTCTTCACTCACTCCAGGTTTTCGGCAGCATTTTGGCGGCAGGTCCTTCACCCGGAGCAAGTGAAGGACGTGTCGTCGAAGACCCGATAGGGAACCGTGTGGTGAGTACAAGCCTCACGTGCCTGTCTCTCTCCCCCCTCCACCCCCATCCGACCCCAACCCCGACTGCCTCCCTCAGAACCCACAATCCATCAACCCCCCCTCCTTGTCCCCTGACCACCCCCTCCCAAGATCCCCCACCCTAACTGCCCCCCAGGACCCCACCTCCTACCCAACTCGCCCCACTCCCTGTCCCCTGACTGCCCC